TTTATTTATTTGTTTGTTTATTTATTTGTTTTATAAATAAATATATAAATGAATATATAAATATATATATATATATATATATATATATATATATATATATATATATATATATATATATAATATATAGTATATATAGTATATATAATATATATATATATAGTATATATATATAGTATATATATAGTATATATATATATATATATATATATATATATATATATATATATATATATATATATATATATATATTTATATTTATATATACAATGAATCTGAAAAAGTGTGTGTGGATCTTGGGTGTGAGTATCATACATGCGTACATAGGGGAGCCAACAATACCTAGATTCAGACTTGGAATAACTGTTTTCTCCTCCACCTGGCAGGCCCCAGGTATAGGTGCAACATCTGGCATTGTTGGCTGCCCTAAGAGCCACTCCTAATTGACACGTCCTTCCTCCTGTGTTTCAACCTACCATGGTTGCCCTGGTGAATTAGGGTCAGTTGCATGTTGTTATTGGTTTTACAAGATCTCCAATATTTACAGTAACATCACAAATTAACATGAAAATGTGATTGAGTAATTCTTGAAGTGCAAAGTTATAAGCATGCACAGCATGAGTACAGACTTGTGTATGATATGTAAACAGTGTACAGATGTATACCATACAGACACAACCAAATGTTGAGATCTCACAATTAACATGAAGCACAGAAAAGAATCTTATACAGTCAATATTTTTATATAATGATATTCTTTGTACATAACTATCCTGTTTGTTTAACTGGTGGCAATATTTTTGTGACTAGGGACACTGAGCTTTGTTGCCATATGACTTAGAGCTCAGAGTTGTTTATTGTGTAGACAGTGATGTTTATCCCCTCCTGACTGTAACTGGTTACATTGTGTTTCTTCCCTAATTCTCTTCTTTTCGTGTACTTATAATCTTGCCGACCCTAGTCAAGACCTAGTCTGTATTGTGTACACAAGGACGCTAAGCTGTCACTACAGTTGGAGGTGTCTCCCGGTGGGTTTTCTAGAATGTTCTTGATAGGTGAACTCATGTTGAAAATTCCCTCCAGTATTTACGTTATGTGTCATCCCATTCTGAAAGGTTCATTGACAGATACTGAGCCAAAATCAAGTACTCGTTTGGCTGGCTTTCCTACAGCTACAAACATAGGATTTCTTTGGTTTGATCTGTTTTATGTAGATGAAGAAATATAATAACATTTGGGTTACAGACACCCATAACTACTAATTCCATCATATTGTTAATGAATGTACTCAGTTATATGTAGGTCAATGATATTCCTTATGTACTATAAAATCATATATTCTCTAGCTTAAAAATATTTGTACAAAGAAATGTGAAATTTCTGTTTGGCTTTAAACTGCAGTAATGATATGCCCTGTGTTGTAGAGAGCAAGACACAATTTAGATTATTTATAAACCTATTGTTCTACGTCAGAAAAACAGAAATATAAATAAACTTGGGATCAGCATTGTAATGATTATCATGATAGTCTTACTCCAAGAATGTGATCCCAAGCTTCTTCCAGACACCTGCACACAGGATAAGATTATGTATAATGTCTTAGATGAGTCTCCAGTTTAGAAATGTCTTTGTTGTTGGTAGGAAGGTTACTTAAGTATATTACAACCTCTCATCTAGCTTATACTTAGAGTGATACTCTGATAGGTGTGCTCAAACACCTCGTGGATTGCTCTTCGGCTCTGGTGCAGAATAGGAAATCCTTTGACCAATCTTTTCTTACTTTCTTTACACACACAGAAAAAGGTTCATTAGGAATATAATTTCAATAAGCAATTTGATATGTATATATATACATATAATGATATCCTGATATGAGTGGCAAAGTCCATTTGAATAAGAATAGAACTTATAATTAATACATGCAACTGTACTTCAAATAGAAATGCAGTCTCATATGAGTTACTTCACTGAATTTTATCATTGTTATAATGATTGATTATAGATATAATTTAGATATTGGTAATAGCAAAAGGCAGAAATTCCAGTATTGTAAGTTGACCAATATCAAAGAATTATGATTTGTAGATAACTGAAAATATTTCAATGATATGATTTACCATATTCACTATACCACCTCTGTGGGGATGTTTATTACTTGTATTCCAGATCTTGGCATGTTTGTATGCAGTTCAAATAGCTTTTCAGGTATGGAAGAGACTCCTTGTAATTTATGTGCATGGATGGTGGAAGTCTATGGTTTTAATTTAATACTAAAGCATTTTTTAAAATCTCCCTGTGTGTTCGAGGTATGGAAGATTGTTTATATATATATATATAAAATGTGTTGACTGTGTAATTATTATTTGGAATAAGACTTCATGAAATCAGTCCAGATATGTTTTCATCATGACTATGTTTAACATTCATTGATACCTGTTTAAAGTGACGATAAAGTGAGAATGGGTTTATTGTTCTGACTACAGTATAGATATAAATATATGTATTTCAGCAGGAAAACCATAGTCAAGGTCAACCTAGATATAGTGAGCCTTAATATCTTTTATTGTGAATTTCCCATTTGATCTAATCTGTTTTTTTCTTCTTCTCCTTTCTATTTTGCCTGAAATTTTCACAGATCTAGTTAATTGGTCAGTTTCCAAGGCTTATGGATACTAATAACTGTTGTCTTCACAAGAACTACCAACAGGATGAAAGTCAAAAAGAAGAAAAAAAAAAAAAAACGAGAGCCTAACATTATATCTAGGTGATGCCAGTCGCTGCCTCTTGTAGCCAATGTGTTGTGCCTTTTGTTCGCTCCAATGTCTTGTAGAAGCAGAACATTGTCTCGTGAGCCACATCAGTCAGCTAGCCTCAATATCTTGTGTGATCACAACCCTTTCCTACCCCTTTTTTTCTGAGAAGCTGTGAATTTTGAAGTAATCGATTTTACTTCTGTTTCTGTCAGTTTTTTAATGGTACTTTTTTCTCATAAGTGTTTTACATTAGAGATCTTTTTTAAAAAGTTTAAACCTCTTTATACTGAAAAGAAAATGTAAATGTGGAAAGAAGGGCTTTGTTGATAGGGCAGTATGTCTTTTTTTTTTTTTTTTTTTTTTTTTTTTTTTTTTTTTTTTTTTTTTGTCTTTTGTCTTTTTCTTTTTTTTCTAAAAGAAGTACAAAGCTATACATACAAATACTCAAATACCTTTTTTAAATGTTTTAATTATATATTATATATGTTATATCTTGTTTCTGTGTAAGTATGTATAACACACACACACACACACACACACACACACACACACACACACACACACACACACACACACACACACACACACACACACACACACACACACACACACACACACACACACACACACACACACACACACACACACACACACACACAAATTTTTTTCATTAATAAAAAACATATAATATATATAATTAAACCCACCTACAATGTAAATGCAGCTCAAAAAGACACACAAAACGTAGAGGTGGAAGAAGATTCAGTAGATGGATGGGGGAAAGAATATTCCTTGAGATTTTTAAAAATGCTTAAAAAGACACGAATAGTACATAAAGACGCTGTCTGCAGCTCATGGTATGCTTAGTATTTTTCTACTGGACTATGGACTTGTAGCTTGATAATGTAGCTTAATATTTTTATTTTTTATTTTTATTTTTTTTATGAGAAGGGAACAGCATGTAATTGTAGGAATTAATACTCCTTTTATATTAATTTTCCTTTTATATGTGTATTGAGAAAGTGAAGTGAAAGTGAAGTCAAAGCATGTTTGGAAAGTTTTTCAAGGGAGAATAGGCTCAGTTTGATAATGTGCAATAATTATTAAAGGCGTTGGTAAATATTGTGAAGTATTGGTGGTAGTAAGGTTTTGTGTGTGTGTGTGTGTGTGTGTGTGTGTGTGTGTGTGTGTGTGTGTGTGTGTGTGTGTGTGTGTGTGTGTGTGTGAGTGAGTGAGTGAGTGAGTGAGTGAGTGAGTGAGTGAGTGAGTGAGTGAGTGAGTGAATGAATGAATGAATGAATAAACTAATTTACAGCCCATCAAAATGGCCCTTCTTACTACATTAATTTCATTTTTTTTTTAAGTGAAAAAAGTTTAGAATATGTCAAGCTTCAGAAAAATTTTGTTGTACCTTTATTTTCCTTTTAACAAAAAGTTTTTTTTTTTTTATCCAAAAGAAGAGAAAGAGTGAATTAGAGCTCCTAGTTTTAGATAATAAAGACAATTTTATTATAAATTTACTTCTACAAGTGGTCGGTAGATTTTTTTCTTCTTCTAAACAGAAACTGTCATAAAAGGTAGTGTTTGGCATGTTGTAATCTCTTAAAACTATGTCAAAGAGGGTGGTGAGCCAAAAAAAAAGAAAGAAAAAAAAAAAATAATAATACCCCTGTTTTTTTTTTATCAAAGGATGGAAAGAAACTTCAAAAGAAATTTTATTTTCAGATTTTTTTCTGTGACTCCAACAATTAACTGCATATTAAAAGAATATGAAAAGAGGGTTATGGATTAATTTCAGTGTTTCTGTTATATGCTTAGTTCTGTAGGTGTTTTAATATAATTACACTGCTATGTTTGAGATCACAGCTAAAGTAACTGCATTTACATACAACAGTGTAGGTTAAATTGTATGAGTTAACTTCACCCTGAGTTTTTAACTGCAGGTACAATAAATCGGATCACAATTAGCCAAATAAACTTTAAAATCCCTCAGTGTAATAGTAGCAGTGATGATACAAACTTACCCCTTAAGATAGAATGTTAAGCTTTAAACTCCAACATAAGTCTGTCTTTCTACTGTGTTCTGTTGACAAACTGGTGGTAGTAACGAAATAGGCCTTTTAATGCAAAATTTTAAAATTTGCTGTGTTTGTTACCAAAGTATGAATTTTAGCACTGCTGAATTACTGAATCCAATATGGTACCATGTTTTGAAAATGATAAAGTAAATGGAAGAACCATACCAATTGCCTCTGTTAAAAATTTAATAAAAATAAGAACAAATATAATATATAAGGATTGTTAACAAGTTAGAATAATCTGAACCGTCTACCTTCTATGTCACTGTGGGCATCGTGGGCACACATTCCCGCCATCAATCATATCTCTGGCAGGTCCAAGCTCTCAGTCCAACAACATGGCTGTATCTTCGGTCCTAATGACAGTACAGTACTCAACTGCTCATGTTTTAGTCAGTAGAAATATATTCTTTACTTTTTCTCACAAGTGTGTTTTTCTCCCACCTTCCCCTAAAATATAAAAATACTCAAGGAAAACTGATTGTGAGTATTATGGAACCAGAAGTCATCTTTCTTTGAGTCTGCCATTTCCTCCTCCTCCTCCTCTTCCTTGCTACAGGTCTGTTTCTATTACGAGGTACTGTTAAATGATGGTAACTGTGGATATGAAAAATTTATATTGCTACATTTCACAATGCAAAACCAATGTAAATATATGAGATGTAATAACAATTAAGTTGTTTACTTTGTTGATTTTATTGAAACCTTATCCTAACATCACATCAGGAAAAAAACAATACCAGTATGATCAACAGTGTATAACAGAGCTAATCCAAACCATTCAGAGCAAATGTTCATCTCTCAAGTGTTACTTGAGAAATTCCATAACAGCCTTTTAGTAGTCTTGCAAAAGATGGAGGAGTTGGTTGTCGAGGGTCTGGAGGATAGTGAGGACCTTGCTCACCAACATACACATAAGGCAATCGCAAAACCCAGTAAGCTGAGGCAGAGAGTTTGACTGGGAGGGAGTTGCAAGGCTGGGGAATATATCTTGGGCAAGGATCTGGCCCTGGCTGCACTTGAGGGTTTAGTGTGACATTGACTGGTGCTTTGGGAGTTACTACATGAAGCCTCATTAGCTGTCCATTCACAATGCCTCCAGAGCGGCTGTTAAGGAAACATGAACAACAATACATCAGTAAAGAGAAAAAATAAAATTTCAGTTAAATACCACCTCCAACATATCTAAAAGTCAGTACTTTGATTCTATTAATCTATGATCATGGAGAGTGTTATATGTCCTTAGAAGTCAAGCACATTTATTTTGCTTTTAACCATTATGATCATGGAAAATATGATCTCTAATAAATAGCTTGACAGTAAGGACTACCCATGGTAAGTGCTAGTAAATAGAGGGCAAGGCATTTTTTTGTGCATACCTTGCTTTCCCAAGGAAAGTTTAGTGGCATAAATTTAAGCACAATAATGAATATCATAAATATATTAGATAAGTTCATTATAACAGCTGAGCAATTTAAATGAGTGCAAATCAAAGGGGTAATTGATATAAGCATGAATACAGTGGCAAAAATAGTTTTTTATGAAAGAGAAAATAATTTGAGGGCATACTTGTGCATAATTAAGGGGAAAATTTGATAGATTTGATGAAAGCACACTGAAATCCATATCTTATAATATGTAGTATAAATTTAATTCAACCTATTATGTACTTTTTTTTTCTTCTTTTTTTTATTGGGGTCTCCTACAATATAAGTTTTTTCTTACTGTCAAAACCTGATAAATAGGCTGCGATTTTTAATTCATGAATTTGTTTTTATTTTTATCATTATTTTTTTCATAACTATTAGAGAATCATACCTGCAGGGACATGGGAAGTAGAGTGGCATATCAGTGTTTGCAATCTTGGTGGCATTGTCTTTAACAAGCCCTGATGGGGAAGCCTTCAAATGTCTGTCTGGGGTGGCCATCATGAATCGGTGGCCTCTGACACACTCGTATTCAACACCAAGGAAGATCTTCACACTGAACTCATGTATATCTGAAATTATGTTTTGGTTGAATTAATGGGTATATCAACCATAATCATATGATCTGAAAGGCCACATTAGTTTATGCATGATTTAATGCAATTCTGTTGAGTATTTCTATAAAGGCAGCCTTTTCCTTTTTTGTGATTTAATGGTCATACAGTTGTGTATAAACCCATCTTATAATTTACTCTATATCACAACCAAACATTCATAATCAATAAAAAATGGTCCTAATTAAATATACAAGGGATACAAATAAAATTACTATAAACTTCAGGCTCAAAATGCTTTCAAATGATTCGGATAGAGAAATCAAGTAATTTGAAAGAAAAAGAGAGAGAGAGAAAAAAAAGTAAAGTAAAGTAAAAATACAATACTTACCACCTACTCTGTTCTTCTTATTTTTGAGCAAAAGGGCTTTCTTCCCAAGAGTGTCTGCTATGGCAGGCCATTTGTTCCGGTCTTCAATCTTTACTGTTACATCCCAAGGTAATAAGAAATTTGTGCCTGGCAAAAATCCTGGCTGATCACATATACCTGGAATAAAATCATATTGTAAATTTATATGTCACAATGAAAGTTCATTTATTGAACTGAACCAAAACAGAGCTACATTATCCCATTCCTGCCAGGCATGCCATGCCATACCCACTGTGAGATTACGTGTTAGATTGTTTTCACACATAGATGGCTATACTTGTACTAAATCACCAATGAACCAGTTACAAGTACCACCTGTCTCGCCCGTTCACCCTTTTCTTTGATTTACAAAATATTTTACGTGACCTTATTTTGCTGTTACTAATGTTAAAAAACATTCTAAAAATTATAATGTTTATGATAAAAATAACACCATCGATATTCATGGCACTAGTGAAAAATACGTTTTTCCCGCCATTTCAAATCAGGCACTAACAGACCCATCTATGGGCAGACATTTAACAAAAAAGTATAGAAAATAGGCACAGCATTTTCTCAATTTTTTGTTCATTTTCCCCGGCGGCAATGGGTTAAAAATACAGATATTTTCTTTATAGAAAATTATTGGGTCTGTTTTCCATAATAATTTTCTATGGTCAATTAGCTGACCATTTCCAATACAGTACAAGTAATGCATAAGCATTAACATAATATATCAAATTTTGTAGGTATAATCAGCCAGTAAAAAGTAGGAAGATTAATAACAATTTACCAGTAGTGAAATTAATATTTACAAGGTCAAAAAGAGACTGCACAGACATGTAGGAATAAAGGTATAAGCACACACATGTAGTCAATACTACAGAAATTAGCAAACAAAAAACTGGCTGTAAATCATCACAGTTTTGTAATATTGAACTAACCAATTACATCTGAAGGGCAATGTCCATCCATCCACATCAAAATCTTTGTTCACTACAAATTTTAAATCCAAAATGTCATTTTATCCTTCCCAATAGCATATAAGTAATTAGCCTAATTAATGCCTTATATTTACCCTTTGCCACCAGATGACATATCATGCCATGCCAAAAATGGCCATCTCACTGGAAACTTATTTATAGCCCTTGTACCTTTTGTGGGACTCTTGGCCAAAAAATCACACTAAACCCTTACTATTCATATGACACTACATCAGGACTGTATCAGTGCACATATGGCATGAAAACAAACATGGTGTGAACTTACATATAGCACACACTGCCATGTTTGGATATGACCTGATAGTTTAAAAAGAAACAGAGTTACTGGGTTAATGAAACTGAAGTATAAGGATATCACACAGTAGCTAAAGAACTATTTTACTAACCTGCATTGTGTGAGTAAAGAGAGGAGGGTCCCAAGCAGCAGAGTGACCATGAAGACCAACGAGGAAGTAAACCTGCTGGTGAGTTGGTGTGAAGCATTCCTGGCAGGTACTCAGTTGTTGAGGCCTGGCGAATTATTCCCCGGTCTGAAGAGAATATAGGTACATATTATAGCTG